TGGTGTCCGTGGTCTCGTACTGGCTGTCCCGGGCCAGCTCCCCAGTCTGTCCCAGTCTGTCCCAGTCCCTCCCAGTCCCTCCCAGTCTGTCCCGGTCCGTACTGGTGTCCGTGGTCTCGTACTGGCTGTCCCAGTCTGTCCCTCCCAGTCCGTCCCAGTCTGTCCCAGTCCGTCCCAGTCCCTCCCAGTCCCTCCCAGTCCGTCCCGGGCCGTACTGGTGTCCGTGGTCTCGTACTGGCTGTCCCGGGCCAGCTCGAACACCTCCAGCTCCAGGCGCGCCGGGGGCCGCCCCCCGCCCGGGCCATTGAGGCGCTCCCGGGCCAGCGCCAGCGCCAGGCGCTCCCCCCGCCCGCAGCCGCCCCGCTCGTCCAGGATGGCGGCTGGGGGGGGACAGGAACGGGTCAGGCACCCCAAAAAACCCAAAAAAAAACCCCAAAATTACCCAAAAAAACAAAAAAAACCCACCCCAAAAACCCCAAATACCACAGAGACCTCCCCCCGCCCGCAGCCGCCCCGCTCGTCCAGGATGGCGGCTGGGGGGGGACAGGAACGGGTCAGGCACCCCAAAAAACCCAAAAACCAAAAAAAACACCCCAAAATTAGACAAAAAACCCAAAAAAACCCCCAAAAATCCCCCAAAAACCCCAAATACCACAGAGACCGCCCCCCGCCCGCAGCCGCCCCGCTCGTCCAGTATGACGGCTGTGGGGGACAGGAACGGGTCAGGCACCCCAAAAAACCCAAAAACCCAAAAAAACACCCCAAAATTACCCAAAAAACCAAAAAAACCCACCCCAAAATCCCCCAAAAACACCCCAAATCCCCCCGCCCGCAGCCGCCCCGCTCGTCCAGGATGGCGGCTGGGGGCAGGAACGGGTCAGGCACCCCAAAAAACCCCAAAACCCCAAAAATCCCCCCAAAAAAAACCCAAAAAATTACCCAAAAATTACCCCCAAAACCAGTAAAAAAACATAAATCCCACAAAAACTCCACCAAAACCCCAAACTAACCCCAAAAAAATCCAAAATTAACACTATAAAACCCCACAAATCCCCCATAAATCCTACCAAAAACCGCAAAGCCGCCATGAAAACCCCAAAATCCCACCAAAAAAAACCCCAAATCCTATTAAAAACCCGCAAATTCCATTTCAAATCCCCCCAAAAAACCCCAAATCGCCCCAAACTCACCCAAGCGCAGCGCGGCGCACGGGCTCCCTCTGGCGGCCACGAGCCGCATAACCCCCCCAACCCCCAAAAAACTCCAAAATGACCCAAAATAACCCAAAATAACCG